AAAAAAAAAAACTCTCAATTAGGACCTCCACCTCCCACGGCATTTCTACCTGCCTGATTCATGGATTTCTTCTGTCCACTGCAGTCATATCTCTATTTGTGCATTTGTCTAGCCTTTTATCCATAGCCAAACATAGGCTTTTAGTCGCACAATAATGGAGCAAAGCCAATCACATCAGGTGCACAACTAATTATTTTCCTTTTTGATTGTTTGATCAGATGATCTTTTTCGTTGGTATACACGCTAGATTAAGTTCATTTCTTTGATCCAGATTATCTCCTTGTAAGTTTCTCAAGAAGTAACCTTGGTCAACTAGAGTTATTATTTACTGATTGATTAAGGAGTTTCGTGTATTTCAGTCTAGACTGCACATTAAAAGTGCAGTCTCACTATTGAAATAACTAAATTACCACTAATGAATAAAGAGTTTCATTAAGGGTATTTTAGTATCACTTTTAATGTGCAATCTGACTTAAAAAACACTTTTTAATTAATTGAATGAACCAAGTATTGTATGAGTCACAGGATGGTCCCTGCTCTCTTGATTTTGCAGCCAGCATGAGTGAGGGCCTGAGACGTATGGCTTGGGGCCCTTTGCTTTTAAAAGCTATCTAAAACTTTGGCTACTTCTTCTCCGCTAAATGTTGTTTTGCTTCTTTTAGGATGGTTGGGAAAGAACTGTTTCCTATTCTTATCTGAATGCATGATTAAAAGCAATCAAACCCAGCAATATCCAGAAATCAAACCCTGGCATGTTTTGCTTGCATAAAATTAAACTGGTGGCTCTGAGTTTTCTTGATCCAGTGTCAAGCCACAGCCACCGACGACCTAGGGGACCATGCTTGAGCTGCCTGTGCCATTGCGGCAAACACCCACTTTCTGCATTCACCAAATCATTCAAGCAAATCATTAACCATCAAAATTCAACTGGGGGACCATTTTCCTTGACAATTCTATGAAGTAAAAGTCTCAAAAATGCTTTCAGTGCCAGCGGTTTCCCAATTCCTTTGTTGTTTTGCTCAGGTCTGGACCATAGAATAAACCAACCGTCATTTTTTTCTTGAGCCTCAAACACACATGATAAAGATATTTCCTTTCATGGAAAAAACAGAAGGTAATACATACAATTTATAGGAAAGCTACCTTGGCACCGGAGTACCATGCACGAAAATACATAGAGACACATAGCAATCGCTCGCTTCTGCAGAGTCTTGGAATCAAAGCTTACATATGCTTCATCACGAAGTCCTTTATTTTCTTTTCACCCTCAAGTTTGCTTAATTTCCCTTTATACCCCCAAGTTTGCATGTTTATTATTAGTTTATGATACAGGTAGCATACACGGACATTTACGGAAAGTACAAGGCAACTGATATGAATGTTTCTATATACCCAACACCGGCTAGCAGCTTTGAACTGATTTTAGTTGCCGGCGGTGCACTCCGGTGGGGGAACTGGGTATCGTGATTTGTCGGTGCAGTAGTCATAGATCACATGGTTCATTCGGACCCACCTGTATCTCCTGGCTTCGAGAGCATTGAGGGCTTGATAGCCACTGCCCTCCCACCAGTTTCCTGGGTTTGCGGCACAGTTTGCCGGTCCTGGTACGGGACAACCCTCAATGTCGAAGTCCTTGTAGAAAGCGGAGAACGGCGCTTTGCTCCAGTCAATCTTCTCCAACCCTCCTCTAGTAGCCCAATCATCAGCTTCCCACAAAGTAGAAAACACTCCCATTGGTTGCAACTTGGGGTATGGAATGTTTCTAGCTTCATTGTTCTTGTAAACCCGGATAGGCACTTCATCAACATAAAACCTGCAACCCACAAGGAATTGATGGCAATTTTTTTTTTTTACAAAAAATATTTTTTAAAAAATTGAGACCCAAATTTTAGGGGGCTGATTTCATTTTTAGATATTTCTACTTACACAACATGGTGGTGGTTCCAAAGAACGGAGTAAGTGTGAAAATCTGCAGCAGGATCAAACCACAGGTTAACTCTCTGCTCTCTATCGCCTTTCCCATTAGCATAGATATTTGTCTGGACAGTATAAGGCTGCCCACTTCGATTTCCCAAGAATTCAAAATCCAGCTCGTCTCTTACAGTATTTGTGTCTGAATTCATCTGTAAGAAACCGAATAAGAGGTAGTGCATCTAATTATAGACTATACAACAAGAAATAACCATCCTTTAAAAATATAGATAATAAAACATACATAGAAGGCAGTGACAGTTCCAGCAGAGTCTCCGGGGATGAGCTTGATCTTCATGCTTACACGGCCAAACAAATACTTGCTTTTGGAAGCAAATCCACATCCTAGAAGTGTAACATAATTAATTAATCATTTGATCTGCCTTTTAATTAATTAATCTGGTATCATGAATACATAAGAAGGGACCACATGGTCCAAAAGTGTAACCTGAATTTTGGTCCAGAGTGAGTTGAATGGCCCTGCCCCCATCGATTTGCCTTATGTGGTAGTCGGCCCACGTGACTCGGAAGTCTTCCAGGAAAGTTGCCGGCCGACCGGAAACGGAAAGAGAGAATGCAAGAATGTGAAAGAGAAGGAAGAGAAGGGCATTCATGATTTGGTTTGTGCTGGAGAAAAGGAAAAAATAATAGGAGGGATGATTTAGAGAGGATATGTGGGTGTTGGGTATATATAGGTGAGAGCAAAGGGGTAGAGTTGAAGTGGACTGCTGCATCAAAATGGAAAGCTCCATCACGGCTGTAGCTTTCGTTCCAGCTAATGGCAAGCCGTCGATCGGCCCTACCCTTATAGTTTCCATTTTCCTTCCACGAACCGCTTTGCTTTAGTTAGCTCTCGTATATGGACATGACAAATAAGTAAAATAGGTTAAGTTGAGGTTCGGTTATTGTAGATCACGAGTTAAATGAATTCACATCTTAGCTAAAGCAATTCATAACTCATAATTTTGCCAGTTATGATTCCAACCATGCTAGTAACAACATAATAATAATAATAATAATGAGTAAAAGAATAAAAGAGTATCTTATTTTATAACTTAAATTGTACCAAAATGTAAAATAAAAATGATTAAAAATGAAAGGGTTTTTAATTTAAAAATTTTGTCTCTTATCTAATTGTTTTTATTGTACAATTCAGACTATATATTAATTTTTAGAAAATAAAAATAAGATACTGATATTGGATGCATGAATTCTAGTCAACAAGTCCAAGAGTTAAAGTCCATTTCCCCTCCATCCAATCAAGCTTCGCTCACACGCACTGTGGACAGCCAAGAGATGGCGATTGACATTAAACGGCCGGTTGGCTGGATTAGCTGATCGGGTCCCGCTCTCTGGCGGAGTCTTAGTTTGGGTTGGACTCATTGTTGCGCCCATATAATTTCAAGCTTTTACCCATTACTAGATGAAATTCATCAATCGGACGAGGCATTATTAAGATCAGAAGTAAACACTTGGCCACTTGCCTACCAATTTAATCTCCCCAGATTCTTTGTTGTGATACCATTGTTTTTGTAATTGGCCGATTGATGGGGTTATGGGTTTGAAAGGGAAAGACAAAGCAGGCTAAACTGAAAGCTACTAAACATAAACAGATCATTCATCGTCACTCGATAAAAGCAGAAGACTCCTTATCCCAAACAACCGATGGCCGACAAGTGTTGTAAAAAAAACCTCATACGGGAGCCTCTTGACAATTTTTTTTTTTTTAGAATACTCAAATTCACTTTTAAAGTATAGTGATAGGGACAGATTTACTACGACCACAAAATGAGGATAAATCTACTTACAAAATTTTTGAGTTGGACAAATCATCTTAAATTTAACGTGTGATGCCATTTGACGTCAATAATCCGTTAATAATGAATTTATTAGCAACATAATAAATTAATAGATTATTGACGTCAGATGACATCATACGTTAAATTTGTGGTGAGTTCAAGTCGAAAATTTTATAAATAAATTTGTCTTTATTTTTTATTCAGGGGTGGATCCATCCAAACCACCATACTATGGAGGTGGATTTAGATATTTTATCTTTTTTTTTTTAAAAAAAAATTATAATTAAGGTGTTTCTGAATCAATTTTTACATATTTCAAAACTAATATATTTTAAAATGATTTTAAGGACACATTTCTCATATTTGGCATTCAAAGAAGTTAATTTTCTTAAGTGTTGGCCCCAAATTGTAAACTCTAAACTCGCTCATGACAATTTACTAAAATGGTAAAAACGTCTTCCATACAACTGAGATATCACGATGATTATCGAAAGCTCAATTATTTTCGAAGACCAGCTTCCGGCAAGGCACAAGCTTATATGACATACATTTGCCTTTGCCGGTAATTGGAAATGCAGGATTAGACTAAACAACCATAATAAGACATCTATCAATTTCCGTAACAAATTCCTATAATTACAATTAATTCTATTAAAATGCAATTACCACGTATGTACCTACCTGAAAAGTATATATAACTCACAATTATCTGTTTCATGATGAAGTAGATGGGTGCAAAAGTGGTTGTTTGGATTTCTACTATTCACTTCAAGCTAGTTCAACACAATTATTGGTTTAATCATATGGTTCTCAATATCTTTCCACATACACCCTTTAGAACCACAAGCCTTCAAGTCAAATATATTTTCTTCAAACTTTTTCTTTGAAAATGAAAAGCTCTCTTGATAAATGTGTCTTTGACTACGAGTCTATGGACATTTCTTTTCAATTCACATATTTTTGGACAAAGTATACATTCGAAAAATCAATAATTGAGTAAGTGAGGTCTTTGATTAATTCATCTAGTGCTAAAGACCGAGGTCTTATATGTAATGTGTACACATTACTTCAAATCAGATGAATAAGCTGGGCCTGAAACGAAGACGATAGACAACCATATATATGGGTAAATTAAACATGGGTCTATCGAAAAGATGAAAATAGTGGGGTGCTATTATGGGAGGGGTCCGTTGATGGGAACGTGCACTTAGTTGCCCTTAGCTATAGAAGGAGGAGGGAGAGAAGCCATTTACGAAGCCTACCTGTATGTTTTTTTATTTTTTTTTTATTGTGATTGCATAATGAAAAATTATTTTTATTTTTTAAAAAATTTTATTTTATTTAAATATCATATAATTCAAATATAAAATTTTTTATTTTTATAAAAATATTACTACTAAATAATTTATATCGTTAGCGAGTTTCCTTGTATTAATAAATTCAATTTTGATCCGTACGCATAAAAAATAAAATAAAATAAAATAAAATACTTTTACAGTTGTGTCAACTTTGGCCATGGTACGTGGGGATACGTATGGTCGCAGTCAGGCAATTGAAATTTATTTGGAATTGTGTACCATTGCCTGAATCGATTTTAGCAATCCTGTCAGGGATGAAGTGGATGCATGGGAATTTCTTATCCAGGTACATGCGCACGCTCACTCTAAATTTAAATAATTTATGTGGGGATCATTCCAGGACTAGTACTCGACCATGTAAATCTAAAAAGAATTAATTACACGAAAGGCCACTGCAACTGCTAGCGTCCCTACTCTACTAATTACCAAGTGGGACAGTGGGTTCTCAAATCTCACCTCAATGGTAAATCCTTGATTTACAACTGATAATTAGAATTTTTTTAATTTGTGTTATTATATAAAAGTTAAAAGTATTTTTATTGTGTTTTTTAATAATTTATTATTATAAAAATATAAAAATAAATTTTTTTAAAAAAAAATATAAAAATAAACAATAACTTTTAAGCCGATGCTATAAGAATAATTTTAATTAAATATTTCATAAAATTAGAGTGAATTTTTATTTTTCTTTGTTAATACAACTTAATTACCTTAGGTTAGAAAAGCGCCCTTCTAAGTATATATGAGCTTAACTTTTCTTTTTGCCTGCCTTTTTGGAGACGAGATCCGTGAAGAAAGACTAAATCAAAAGATGATTGATCATTCAATCTAAAAAAGAAAAAAAGAAAAAAAGAAAAAAAGAAAAAAAGAAAAAATAGGATTAAATCATTTAATGATTTATCTGGTTATAAAATAAAGGAAAATCAAACCATTAATAAGGAGGATTGATACACGAAAGAGAAAACATTTCACCAATTGATTGATTTTATAGGATTTGAAATTAATTTTTATCTTTTTATTAGAGGATTTTTAATTAATTATTATTTTTTTATAGTATGAATTCTTACCTAATAAATATGATTGCTCATATATGAAAAAAACAATGAAGAGAAACAAACTTACATCGCCCTTAAAACGCTTTTGCACTATAACACTTATGGGTTTTCTTTTTTTTTTTTTTTTATACATTAAAGAAATTAGTTGTTTAGTAACATATAAATTTAAACTCTTGACCTTAATCCTAAAAGTTTTTAAAGTTAATAAATATCAGCTCGATTAAACTTTTAATCACTTATTGGTCATATGGATCTTAATGTATCATGATTTTCTTTAGCACTATTTTGAATAGCATAATATCTTACTATCTCTTTTTTATTTTGATCATCTTATTGCTATAATATCATAAAGTTTTCTCTACATATTAGCGTATCAAGTTCCTCACCATATCGAAAGTTTCTACACTGTGAACCAAATTAAGCAGCTTTAATGTGGTCGGACGCAAATGTATCCTTGTTGTCAACGATTAATGTAAATATTTGAGTTTGAAACATATTATACTATTGAAAAATTATTAGTACATCTTCTGATTCAATATATCAATCTCTTAACATCTACTAATTTAGTCATTAAAATTTATAATTTAAAAATTTTCAGTTCTTAATTTAAACTTAAAATCAATAATCTCTTAATAAATATGTTGTGAAATATATTGAATTAAAAGATTTATCAATCATTATCCTACACTATTTTTCAAACACGGAGTTGAAGTATAACATCAGAGATTTTGAAAACGAAAGCTTATGGATAGATCCTTTTAATTACGTGTTTCTTTCCATAATTCTATGTAAACATAAAGACATGAGAAAAAGAGACTTAAGAGAGACACCCCACATGCTTGGGGACGATAAAGTATATATTAGCTAGCCATTAGGTGTTAGTGCGTTTTAATTATTTTTGCCATTTATTGTGATGTGTTTGTCATAACCACCTTAGCCTTGGATGGATTTAATAGACCTAATTCAATAATATTTTATAAGAATAATTAGTACACACTTCAACAGATTCAACATATTAGTAATCAATGTCTTACTTTATACTAGTAATTTTTATTTGATAAATGGCCGACAATGTGTCTCAGTGTTTCTTCTCTTATCTTCTAATAATGTCTCGAATTCCTTTATTCTTAGTTTGAAATTGATAGTTTACCACATTTCTCTTTTCATCTTCCTTCTTTATCATATTTTTTTGTTTTACTCCACTTGAGTATGTTCATACTGAAAATTTTTATTTTGAATTAAATCTTTGCTTAATATCAAATATATATTTTTCTTAAGTAAAAAATTAATTTCAAAATGCATTCAACTCCCTATTCAAAAGATTTACATTCTTTTTCTTTTTTATTGATCTTAAGTTGCAAATAAAAGACAACTTTCTTTTATCCCTTAACCCATACCACTCCATTATCATGTGATTTGAACTCAATACCTCTTATTTCCACTAAA